CCCGTTCCAAACAAGTCACTCTCCCTTCATTCTCACCACGTCAGCTTATAACTCTTCTGAAGAAGAAAAGACAAAAATTATTACAATAAAAAACAGGAAAAGTTTGTGAATTTTTGGGGTCTTTTTTTTTTTGGCAAGTCAGGAAGGCAGCAGCGTGCTTGTGTGTTTCGTCTGGACCAGCTTGGGAAAATGTCCACCATTTATGCAGGACTTCTTTACACAAACACAGCCAAGACACTTTCTTCTCGGCCTTCTAGAAAGTAAAAAAAAAAACAAGACAATGTAAAAACAGGTATACTACAGCTACATTAACTTCCTTTCTGCACATTGGTACTGTACAAATGCACTGACATTTAGATTTAAGGTTCATTGTTGTGCTGGATTGGTTTTCACATTTTTTTCCCAAAAAAGCACGTGGGGGAGAACGTGACTTGCCTCTCAGCCAATGAGAGGGAACATCAGGTGTGGAGGGAAAATGGAGAGGCGGAGCAGGGAAGAAAAAAGGAGGACTTGAAACATGCAGCGGCAGCCTGAGAAGTTTGGTGCAGTAAAGTTATATGTTTTGCAAGTAAACTTGTTTTAAGCAAAGTTTGGGTGTTAAAACCGTGCGAGTGGTGACAGCTGGCGAGTCTCAGAGAGAAGACGGTGCTGAACGTCGGTTTGCTCTGATCCGAACAGGTCGAACATTTCCTTCTCCAGCCTCTCCCTTCCCCTCTTTCACGGAACTGAGTATACCCTGCCACATGACTTCACCAAAGGCAGCACTGTTTTAAGGAGTCCTTTACCACCTTAAAGACTGAACTTTTGTGCAACTACTGAGCAGAGTCTCACGGAACGAATAAACGGTTTTGGATTTCAAGGAACTGTGCTAACAATTGTGTTAGAATTGGGCTATAATTATTCACGTTAGCATAGTATGCTACAACTTAATCAATTTAAATGACTGATCATATTATTCCCTTTAGAATTCTACTTTTGGGTTAAACTCTCTGGCTGTGCCTCCTCCTCCTCTCTCTGTACAGTAGATACTCGTCTTCATGGTCAACATACACACACACTTTCTTAACATATTTCACTGAAACCTGCATGAATTAAGAGCCTCTGGCCTGTACATGACCGAACTAACTGGCCAATAACATTCGGTTACGCCCAGCCGTCCTCCCCTTTCGAGGCCCGGCCCGGAGGAAAACTGCCCATCTTACCCGGAAATCGAGGCTCTTGCCGACTGACATCCTCCGGGAGCTTTGTCTGTGAGAGCCCAATGCTGATATACTTTGCTTGTGACCAATAAATTCCATATTTGTACTCTTGATCTACTCTGGTTTATTCTCAGGCTTCCAACTAAAGAACCGATTCTAACAATTGCGTAAATGGACATTCGGGGTGACGTTATTGCCTGTATTTTTTCACTGTATGTTTGTGATGCATTTGTATGCCTAGAGTCTAGGCCCTAGACTAACGGTAACCTTGATGGTATTTAATTTATCTGGTGGTAGCCTTCCTCTTTGGTAGCACTAGTGAGTAAATTAAGGTTGGCTTACCAAGGTTTATACATTTTCAAACGAGGTTAACTGTTAAATGCTCCAGTATTTCATTTAGTACGGTCCCGGGACATATTTGATAGCTTTAGAGTTTACAATTAATTTCGATTTAAAAATAAGAGTTTGGGTTCATAAGGAACTGAGTCTGTTTAAGTGCCTCTGAAGGGTATTTGGTGACATAATTTTAAGTTAATGACTCAAGACAAATTTTTATTTTACTGTCCTATTACGGATGAGCTTCTGAATATGATCCGAGAAAGAAATTCTGCTTGGGCCAAGGCAAGACTAACAAATTCCTCCTCAGACTGGACCAAATTTAGAGCTCTAAGAAAGAAATGCACACTTCAGACTAGGAAAACAAAATCTGAATTTTATTTGAAGTCCATTTCCGAAAACCTTGCCAATCCAACAAAATTCTGGAAGCAGATCAAATCCTTATCAAGTTCACAGACCAAGTTACATATGCCAGAAAGCATCATAGTAGACTCAGTTGTTATACACGACAAACAGAATATAGTTAAGCAGTTTAATGAACACTTTGTCTCAACTAGCTCTGGTCCTGTTACCTCTCTTTCTGATCCAGTATCTGTAAACGTCAGCAATTCCTCAATCCAAATTTGTCCTACAACCCATTTCTATTGATGCAACTAAGAAAGCACTTATGACCATAGACCATAAAAAGTCCCCTGGGCCTGATGGATTAGGCCCAGGGGCCTAACTTCTCCTGAAGTTGGCGGCCGACTTTATTGCAGAGCCTATTGCTCACATTTTTTATCTAAGCATACAATTAAACTGTATTCCAAAAGCTGATTACGTTTTACCTCTAAACTCAGTCAGGCTTTAGAGCAGGTCACATTACCAGAACAGCTGCTGTGTCTGTTTTAAATGATATAATAAATGCCTTAGACAAAAAATGTCATTGTGCTGCCCTTTTTGTGGATTTGTCTAAGGCAGTTGATTCTGTCAACCAACAACTACTTTTAGCCAGACTCTGCAAGCTTGGATTAAGTGATTCTGCCATAGTGGTTTAAAAACTATCTCTCAGACAGAACACAATATATCTACGTGGACGGACTTAAATCTGACTTTTTGGAAGTGACTAAGGGAGTTCGTCAAGGTTAAATTTTAGCACCTGCCCTGTTCACTATTTTTATAAATGACATTGGAAATAACTTGAAATCTGTTAAATTTCACCTCTGTGCTGATGACACCATAATATATTAAATTGCCTCTTCAGTTAAAATCGCTTTGAATGATCTTCAGTCTGCTTTCCATCAACTTGAGGTCTCCCTACATCAGCTAAAGTTGGTCCTAAATTTAAAAAAGACTAAATTCATGACATTCACTAAAGCTTGCTCCCAAAACTCACAGCATCACGGCATTTATACCTTAAGTGGAGAAGCAATTGAGATTGTGTCCTGTTATAAGTACCTGGGTATCTGGATAGATGACAAATTGTCTTTCACAACACATTTAGATAATATGTTAAAAAACTGAAAGCCCTGCTTGGCTTTTTCTACAGACAAAAATCCTTTTTGATTCCCTCAGTGAAGAAAAGACTTGTTTAGACCACCTTCTTTCCAGTTCTGGACTATGGAGACATCATATATACAGTATGAATGCTGCCTCCTCAGCTCTCCACTCCCTGGACATAGTTTATCACAGTGCTTTACGTTTAATCACCAACTCTGCCTTCAGGACTCATCATTCTGAACTGTATGCTCTGGTTTCATGGCCCTCTCTAAGCCTCAGAAGACAACATCATTGGCTTACTTTCATTACTTTCATTTACAAGGCCATCCTGGGTAAACTCCCTCCATACCTGTGTCTTGTCTGTAGCTAACAGTGGTTACAACTCATGCTCTTCAAGTCGTGTTCTTTACACTATTCCCAAGATCAGCACAGATCTTGGCAAAACATCATTTTTCTATGCAGCACCATGGTCATGGCACAATATTCAAAACTCCCTGCAATTACGGACTCTTATTCCGCTACAGCATTTTAAATCACTATTGAAAACCGCTTGCACAGAGCATTGTAACTGTTTCTCTAGAATCTAGTTTATGATTGATTTTATTATGTTGTCCTGTGTTTTTATATGTCTTACTGTACTGCTGCCTCGTGACCAGGTCTCCCTCGAAAAAGAGATTTTATCTCAAGGGACTTCCTGGTAAAATAAAATAAAATGAAAAATATCATTTAATTTAAGAAAAAAAGCTATTTTATTATTTCATTTACATTTACCAGTCTCTGAGCTTAGAGGTCTAATAAAACACAATTGTTTATTCCAACTGGTTTTCTATTCTATTCTACACATATCATACTACCACACACTCCCATAGGCATATACCTCAAGTAACTCCTACTCTCCTTAAGCTACTACCCCTGGAAGTATTAATTAATACAAGATAGTAATTCTCATGTAAGCACAGGCCCTTAGATTTGGCGTAAACAAACAGCATGAATATCTGTGTTGCTTATTAGCAAGCCCAGTTAAAATGTCAGACTCAGAAGAAATTAATCAGCTGTGTGCGCAGTTTGAAGAACTCCAAGCAAGGTTTCATGAACAATC